CGGGCGCAGGAACTCAGCAGGAATCATAGGATCCCAGCAAGATAAACATTCAAAAGTGTCTTGAAGGCATTCAAAGTGGGTGCTTGGGGCACTCTGCTGAACAGGCATTCCCCCAGATCCTGGTGAGCACCCCTGATAAACTTATAGGTGGCCACCAGATCACCCCTGGCCTGTACTTTTCCAGGCTGAAGAGTCCCATGGCTCTCAGCCTCTCATCATAAGGTCTGTTTTCCTGACCTTTGACCATGCACGTGGCTCTCCTCTGCACCCTCTCAAGCTAATCCACATCCTTTTTGAATTCTGGAGCCCAAAACTGGATGCAGTACTCCAGCTGTGGCCTCACCAAGGCCAAGTACGTGAGAATGACATCCTGGGATTTGCTTGAGAAGCATCTATGGATGCATGCCAACATTTTGCTCACTTTACTAGCCGGAGCATCACATTGAAGGCTCATGTTCATTTTGTGGTCAATCATGACCCCCAAGTCCCTTTCTGTAGTGCTAACCAGTGTAGCACTGCCAAGCCTATAAGCATGCTGCAGGTTTTTCCTCCCAAGGTGGAGAACCTTGTATTTTTTGGTGTTGAACACCATCAGGTTCTCATCCGCCCATTTCCTGAGCCTGTCAAGATCTGCCTCGATCACCCTCCTGTCCTCAGTTGTGGATGCTTTACCCCCGAGTTTGGTGTCATCAGCAAACTTGGCCAGTCCGCTTCTGACACCAACGTCCAGATCACTGATGAAGATGTTAACCAGTATAGGCCCTAGGACAGAGCCTTGAGGGACCCCACTGGTGACCACGCACCAAGATGATTGGTTTCTGTCAACTACTACCCTCTGGGTCCTACCACGGAGCCAATTCCCCAGCCAGTGGATTGTGGTGAGGTTGAGGCTCCAGTTAGCCAGTTTTGCCAAGAGGTGATCATGGGATACCAGATTGAAGGCTTTTTTAAAGTCAAGATATACGACATCAATCTCTTCCCCCTTGTCCAGGTGCTAGGTCACCTGGTCATAAAAGGAAATGAGATTGGTCAAGCAAGACCTATCTGTAACAAACCCATGCTGGGTGTCCCTCAGGATATTCCCATCAGCTAATCTTTTATTTGTCTTCCTGCCTACTTCTCTGCTGCTGAGTGAGCAGCTGGAGGCCTCAGGGGCTTCTGGAGAGATCTTCCACAAACAAGGCCCCTCCCCTGCTCCCACCATCTTTTACACCTGCCTCAGCAGCCTTCTCTGTGTGTTTTTGCCCTTGTGTGGTAAGTCCCCCTGACCTGATGTTTGTTGTGTGGCTGAGTAAGCCAGCTCGAGTTTCCCCAGCCCTTGTGTGTGTGTGTGTTACCCCTCCCCAAACACATTCTCAAAACATAGGCCTCCCGGTTATTTTTCTCCTGTGGGGCTCTGGCTCAGTGAGCTTCAGCCCCCTTCCTCCCTCCCTCCCTATCCCCTTTCTGCCCCACAAGCCCGGCCTACCCCTACTAGATTCACCAGCCCCGCAGGATATTTTGCTTTTCTTTATTGTCTTCCCCGCCCTCATGTTAAACAGTGGTAGGGCAGAAACCTTCTGGGGGGGGGGGGGGGGGGGGGGGGGCAGATGCCCCCACAGAACTTCCTGCAGCTCCCAATATGGGGGTGGATCCCAGCCAAGCCCCCAAAGGGATGCATGCCCCTGCAGCCTCCACCCCAGAGGCAGAGTCCAACCAACCTCCTCCAGGTGTGGAGAAGCCTGCAACCTCCACTGCAGGGGCAGGTGGGACCCTGGTAGGGAACCAACAGG